TAAGACTCTGTGCTCCCAATGCAGGGGGCCTGGGTTCGATCCCTGGTCAGGGAACTAGATCCCACATGCATGCCGCAACTAAGAGTTCACATGCCACAACTAAGGAGCCCGCACACCACAACTAAGGAGCCCTGGTGCCGCAACTAAGGAGCTCGGCTGCTGCAACTAAGATCCGGTGCAACCAAATAAATAAATATTTTTTAAAAAGTGGTGCTGGGAAAACTGGATATCCATTTGCAAAAGAATGAAGTTGGGTCCTTATTTAATACCATATGCAAAAATTAACTCAAAATGGACCACAGACCTAAACTTTAGAGCTAAAACTATAAAACTCTTATGAGGAAACACAAGGGAAAAGCTTCATGACATTGGACTTGACAAAAATAAGTTAGATATCACACTAAAAACACAGGCAATAGAAAAACAAATAAATAAATTGCACTTAAACAAAATGAAAAACTTCTGTGCATCAAAGTACACTACCAAGAGAGTGAAAAGACAACGCACAGAAGAGAAATATGCAAATCATATCTCCAATAAGGGGTTAGTATTCAGAATATATAAAGAACTCCTATAACTCAACAACAACAAAAAACTCCCAAACAACCCAATTCAAACATGGGCAGAAGGGACTTCCCTGGTGGTCCAGTGGTTAAGACTCCATGCTTCCAATGCAGGGGGCACGGGCTTGATCCCTGGTCGGGGAACTAAGATCCCACGTGCCACGGGGCACAGCCAAAAAAAAGGAAAAAAGGCAAGGACTTGAAGAGAAATTTCTCCAAAGAAGATAGACCAGTGACCAAGAAGCATGTGAAAATATGTCCAACATCATTAATTTCTAAGGCACTGTGAACTGAAACCACAGGCAGATGCCACACGCTGGATGGCTATTAACCAATGAGGAAGGTAAGTCACGGGTGAGGATGTGGAGGAAGCGAAACCCTCGGGCGCTGCTGGTGGGGACGCGAACAGTGCAGTCATTACGGAAAAGTCCAGTGGTCCCTCAAAGAGCTAAATACAGGATTATCGTATAATCGGCAATTCCACTCCTGGTGCCTCTCTACCCAAAGGAAGTGACAGGAGTAACCTGAAGAGCCACTCGTACGTTGATGGTCACAGCATGCAAAAGGTACAACCCCCGTGTCCATCCCCAGAGGAGGGGACAGACGAGTGTGGTCTGGACGCACGATGGGCCGTCGCTCAGCCACAAAAGGGGTGAACCCTGAACGCATGGTGCTCAGCGGGAGAAACCTGACATGAATGGACAAATACTGTAAGATTCCACTTATGTTAAATATCTAGAAGAGGCAGATTCATGGAGACGAAATGTAGATCTGTGGTTGCCAGGAGTTGGAGAGAGAGGGGGAACAGGAAGTCATTGCCGACTCTTTATAGAGATTCTGTTTGGGGTGATGGAAAAGTTTTGGAAATAGACAGTGGTGGTGTTGTACAGTATTATAAATGTAATTAATGCCACTAAACTGTATGCTCAACAAGGGCAAATTTTATGTTATATTTAGTTTACTACAGTTACAAAATTAAAAATGTAATACACCAAAGACCACTGTCCTGTGCACTTAAACGGGTGACAGGGCTGGCAGGCGCTGGCAAGGAGGTGACAAAATGAGACCCTCACTCATTCCTGGTGGGAGCTGGACCGGTGCAGGCGGCTATCCCTGCAGGCTGTGTCCACACTGAGACCCGCAGACGCTCACAGCAGGCTCACTCCAACAGCCCCACTGGCCACAACCCAAGTGCCCATCCCCCGACGAGCGGAGAAACAGAAAGCGGTCTCTGCACACAGTGGAGGGCCGCTCGTGTGCTGCTCGAGACCACAGCCCGACGATCCTCAGAAACACGTTCACGACAGAAGCCAGACACCGAAGTCTGCATGGTAGGACTCCCTCGCGTGCGCTGCCCACAAAAGACTGGTTCACGCAGACGGAGGTACGTTAGTGTGTCCTGGGGGTGGGGGGGGCAGCAGAGACAGGACCGACCACAGAAAGGGTCGAGGGAATGTCCTGGGGTGACGGAAACGCTCCAGCACCGGGGGGTGGTGATGGCTGCACAACTTCGTAAACTTACTAAAACCTACTGAATCGCACACCTGCCCAACAGATGAACGGGGCGATGTGTAAACCGCACCTCAATAGAGATGGCTTTAAAAAGTGGCCCCACAAATCGGAGAGGAAAGAACGGACAGCTTAGCACGTATCTGCGGGGAAAGGCTCACTATGTGGAAGAAGCGAAGCGAGGTCGCACCTCACACCACAGGCTGGGTAACAGGGACACCGGAGCCTCCCTGACACCCCAGGGCCTGCTCAAAGGGCTGTGAAGCACTGCACTAATGTATGTACGTATTTACTTACTTACTTATTTATTTATTTATGGCTGCATTGGGTCTTTGTTGCTCCGAGTGGGCTTTCTCTAGTTGCAGTGAGCGGGGGCTACCCCTCGTTGCGGTGCGCGTGCTTCCCACTGCGGTGGCCTCCCTTACTGCGGAGCACAGGCCCTAGGTGCGCGGACTTCAGTAGTTGCGGCACGGGGGCTCAGTAGTTGTGGCTCGCAGGCTCTAGAGCGCAGGCTCAGTAGTTGTGGCACACGGGCTTAGTTGCTCTGTGGCAGGTGGGATCTTCCCGGACCAGGGTTTGAACCCGTGCCCCCTGCATTGGCAGGCAGACTCTCAACCACTGCGCCACCAGGGAAGCCCCCTGCACTAACGTCTTAATCTTCACAAGCTTCCTACGTGGTAAGTACTACCGTTATCCCAATTTTACAGAAAGGAAACCGAGGCCCAGAGGGTGAACAACTTGTGCAGGGCCACGGCCGCGAGTGGACTGGGGTCTGAGCCCCAACCGGAGCCTCACCTCCACCCCGCCTCACTGCAGCTCGTAAAGCCAAACTGGAGAAGGTACAGGAGGGGCGCGTGGCCTTGAGTGGGGGCAGATCCTGGAACCAGACCCACATGGAGAAAAATGGAAGGACGCTCCCATAAAAACAGGAAGGATTTCAGCCTGAGAAAGGGTACCCGGGGCAAGTTATCAGGCGGTGACAAGGAGACGCTGTCTGTGACTCCAAAGACTGATATGCCAGGACAAAGAGCCTCCAAAGGGCAGGAGGAAGCAGGGGACAGGGGCGGAGGGGCCTCTCCAGCAGGCAGAGCGCCCCTGGAAGCCCGGACCCTGACACACGCACAGGCAGGGTGAGAAGGAGGTCGAGGAGAGTATGTGAGGGAGCACAAGGGCCGGGACGCAGCTGGGCGGGGGCTGTCGGTACAGAGGTGGCCGCGAATGAGACTGCACGTGAGCTGCAGCAGGAGGCGCGGGAGACGTGCGACACCCCAGCTGCAGTGAGCACCCTGACCACAAGCTGTGAACACAAGGAAGAGGAGCCAGGGTGCCGGGAGGGATGGCCGTTCCAGGGCGGGGTGCGTGTCCTGCAGCGCCAGAAGGCACCCTGGGGACCACGTGAGCAACTGGACAGCGACAGTGAGGTCCCGGTGGGAGTCGCGGAGTCTGCACTGCTACCCGCTCCCGGTGGGTGCAGGCAGGGAAGGGGCACTCTCCCTCTGAGGGCAGCGCTGGTGACGGTGCTCCGAGTGCGGTGGACAGAGCAGCAGGGCTGTTAGCGCCGCGCCTCACAGTGGCGTCCCCCACGGCACGCGCATTAACAGCTGCTCCACGGACCCGACAGCAAGGGACCAAGGCGACCCCACCGCCAGCGCCAGGAGTGACGGGACTCGGGGCTGCGCAGAAAGCTCTGTGGCGGTGACCCTGTGACATGTGGCCATTGGACCACCCGAAGTGACAGGCGTCCTACAGGAGGACGCCGTGTCCCCAAGTGTCCTGAGTCCGGAGGGACAAAGTGAGGAGACACGAGGGGCTGACCTCTGAGCCTCAGGCCCAGGAGCAGCACCCGGCACCCGGAAGGGGAAGGGGCAGAGACCTACTCCGGACCTAAATTATTCACAAGAAAAGGGAACGCGCCTCTTTAACAAGCCAGCGCTTTATGAAGCAAGGTTAACAATTCCACTGGATTCGGTGGAATATTATCAACTCTCTGGGGCCCACCTGAGGACTTCCACTTCAGGAGCAAGGTGACGACTCAGCACTTTTTATATTATTTAGAATAAAATTAACCCTCGCCGGCCCAGGCTGCTGCTGCTGCTTCTGCTCCCACGGATCCGGCCTGCTCAGCGCTTTTCCCACCTATAATTACAAGCTGCTATCCATCACGGGGCAGCCTCGCAGCCCGAAAGGGACGCAGTAAGCACTTCCACTAATAGAGGCAGACCTTAAAGACCGCTTTGGTATTTTCATTTAAATGGAATCTCTAACAATAATCATCCCCAGCCTCTGGGGGTCCTGCCCCACCCCCCACCTGGGCTGCTCTGGAGCTGCCTGCTGGGCCCCGCCTCCAGGAAGGGCCGCCCTCAGGGTCACCACTGGCTCTGCTTGGGGCCCAGGGTCTGCGGAGCCGGCCCAGCCCTTAGGCTTGGGGCAGGAGGAAGAGGATTCGGGGAAGGGCTCCACCGACTGCAGAGAGCCGGGCACAGGAAGGGAGGGGTGCGGTGCGCAACGCGGGGGCCGGGGCCGGGGAGCTGGCCCCGCACTGACACGCGATCCCCATGCCCAGGGCCCAGGCCTGGTCCCCCACGGCAGACCACGGGTCCCCGAGGCAGGGCGGTCACTCACAAGTGTGTGGGGAAAGGGTGGCAGCGGGCCTTGCTGCAGCCCCTAGGCCGGTGAGGAGGCTCCCTCTCGGGGCACCGGGACCGAGGAGGCCTCTCCAGGGTCCCCCACGGCCCGTGCAGCCTCCCCCCAGCCCCGCAGGCCCGTGGGGGCGGGCCCTCCCAGAAGGAGCTGCGGCGCCGAGGGCTGCTCAGCTGCTGGGGGCTTTCCCACAACGGCAGCCCCGGTGCTGTGCTGGGCTGAGCCCACAAGTGAGCGTGACGGGCGAGGACACACCCGCGAGCCCCTCCTACCACCCACGCCCCTCACCTTCGCACCCAGTGGGCAGTAGCCTTTGAGGAAGTCGGTGCAGACCTCCGCCTTGCGGGACACGTAGACGTGACTATAGGGACAGTTGCTGTTGCTGCAGATCCCTTTCAGGAAGTAGGAGCACACAGGCATCTGGGGGGGTGGAAAGGCAGTGAGGCTGAGGGCAGGCCACTTCCCCCGAGCCCCCCTCCTCACCCCACTTCACAGGCAGGAACGCCAGGATCCCAGGGCCCCACCCAGGGCTCCACCGCCAGGCATGAGCCACACACTGACTGTGGAAATAAACACAGCGCTGGCCAGCAGGAGGGGCCGCCCACCCTGAAGTCAGACCCTCAGCCTCCCCAGAAGGTGTGGTCGCCCGGGCAGAGCTCGTCTGCCCTCACACGGTCCAGATGAGGATACTGAGACGGGGGACCCAGCCCAGCAGGCTGGCTCAGGCCCAGATGTGCTGTCACGTGAGTCCATCACCTGCCCCGAGCCTGCCTGGTTTCCAGGGTGTAGGGCTGGGGTGGCATGGGCCAGGAGGAGGTTGGTCTAGAAGAGCAGGGCTAGGGGGTAGGAGGGAGGCGGTGCATGGGGGCTCTAGGTGGGGTGTCAGCCCATAGGGCCTGAAATCCAGCAGAGTTTCCAGCTGCCTGATGCGTGGACACCTGGCAGCATCCGTGAACTGGAGACCTGACTTGGCCTGGTGAAGCCTGGCCACGGGGCTCTGCTGAGCACTGAACGCAGGCGGGCACTGTGGAGGACTGGTGCAGGGGGCAGGCTCCCAGCACCCTGGCCCGTCGGCAGGTGGGTCCAGGGGAGACCTGGTGGGGGACACAGGGTGGGCAGCCCCCCTTCTCCCCCCGTGGGGGGACTGAGGCCTGAGGGCCAGCAGACAGCGGGAGGGGAGGGTGTGTGCCTCTGAAGTCGCCCAGGCTGACTCCTCGGTTGGGGCCCCTGGGGTGAGCCCTGCCCCTCCAGCAGGCCAGCCTCCTGGCGGGATGGAACCTTGCCAGGAGCTCACACGGCTGTCACCCTGTAGGTCTCACACCTTCCACAGGCCTGATACCTCTCGGGGGCCTCCTCCCTCCGCTGTCAGACCTGCCTGCCCTGCCCACGTGGTCCCCGGGCACCCCCCGCTGCTGGCCTCTCCTGGCCGGACTCCTCACTGCACCCCACTGGACTCCCGCCTGCCTGCAGAGGACACACAGAAGCTTCAAAAAGCCACTTTTCTGGGGAGAGGTGTGGGGTCGGGGGCAGCTGAATACGACTACAGCTGAGGAGGGAAGGAGAGAAAGCAGAGAAACAAAGGGTGATTTAGCGAGGAGACTATTTTTAATTGTCTTTTAACTGCAGCGCAGAAGGGAGCGGGGAGCGGCGGCCTGCGGCCGGCAGTGCTGCAGCTGCAGACAATTCCCTTAATGTGCGTTTTGATACAGGACCCAAATTAGCGCTAATAAAAAGGGGTAATAAAGCCAACTCTTGCACCAAACGGTACTCCTCTAGCTGTCAGCATCAAGAGGAAACTGCGTTCTCATTTCAATTAACCTTGTTTGCACCCAGCACGTCCACACAAATAACAATAACATTAATTCAGGGCGCTGGTGCGGGGCTTCTGCGTTAGACAGCTCAGAGCCTGCACCAGCTTTGGAGCCGGAGCTAATGAACCCGAAACTCGACGTGAATTTCCAAATTGCTCACAGCAGAGTTTCGAAGCTCTACTAGGAAGAAAAATGCTGATTCTTTTCAAGTTCCTCAAGGGGAAAAGCTGCAGCAGCAGCAGCGCCTCCGCCGGATCCCGCCTCCTCTGACCCGCTGCAGCCCCCGCTCCGCGCGGTGGGCGGCCCTCCGGCCAGCACTGACCCCTGACCTCAGAGCTCCCCGCACTGTGCGCCCCCCTCCGCCACGGCCCGGCCCTACACCTAGGGGCCACCGGGCACGTGGCGGGACGGAGGGGCAGAGCCTCCAGGTCCCACCCCCGGCCCCACGGGCGCAGGGGACAGGGGAAAACTCACCTTCTCCTTGGAGACGTGGTGCGAGAAGGGGCAGGTCCCGTCCGTCTTCTTGCACGTGCCCCGAACAAACCTAAGCAAACAGGGAGGGTCTGAGGGGCGAGGAGCCCGGGGAAGCCCCCACCCCACCCGCAGGGAGGCCCCAGTGGGCGCACCTGGTGCACACGGCCACCTTCTCGGGGTCGTGGATGTAGGGGCAGTGCTCGCCGCGGTTGCACCTGCCGAAGCGGTTGTAGTACATGCAGTACTCCTCCTTCCTCCGCCGCCGCCTCTGCCGCGCCTGCCGCACGATGGCCAGGCTGCGCTGCACAGCCCGGCTGGGGAGGGGGCAGACGTCCGTGAGCCCCGGGAGGACGGGGAGCACCCCCGCCCCCAACCCCAAGGGACGTACCTGGCCAGGGAGCGGCTGCAGCTGCTGGCAGGGTCCAAGCGGCCTGTGGTGGAGAGAGGCCGGGTCACTCCAGGCCCACCGCCCCGGCTCTGCCCTCTCCCTGCTCACCTGCCTGGCACCGGCCCCCTGGGATGCCCCACCCTCAGCTCAGGCACTGCCACCCCTCCAGAAAACCGCTTGCCCTCCTGGGCCCCTGCCAGGCCCCCTCCCAGCCCTGTGCAGGGGAGAGGCCGAGGCGAGACAGCAGAAGCAGACGGGGACGAAGGCTCAGGGACCAGGTCTGGTGGCACAGCTCCTCGAGGCCACCCTGGTTGCCGGCCAGTGGTCTTTGTTTTTTAATTAATTAATTAATTAATTAATTTTTGGCTGCGTTGGGTCTTCATTGCTATGCATGGGCTTTCTCTAGTTGCGGCGAGCGGGGGCTACTCTTCGTAGCGGTGCGCGGGCTTCTCACTGCGGTGGCTTCTCTTGTTGCGGAGCATGACCTCTAGGCACGCGGGCTTCAGTAGTTGCGGCACGCGGGCTCAGTAGCTGTGGCTCACGGGCTCTAGAGCGCAGGCTCAGCAGTTGTGGTGCACGGGCTTAGCTGCTCCGCGGCATGTGGGATCTTCCCGGACCAGGGTTCGAACCCGTGTCCCCTGCGTTGGCAGGAGGATTCTTAACCTCTGCAACACCCGGGAAGTCCTGGGCCCGTAGTCTTGCCTCAAGGCAAGTGGTCCCAGGAACAGTGGGTGGTGGGGCTTCCCCGCCACCTCCCTCTGCCTGGAGGAGAACCCAGGGACGCGTGACCTGAGTGGGGTCTGGGAATGCCACCTGGTTCTGCAGTAGCTAAGAATAGCTTATTTAAAGCGTCGTAAGATAAAAACAAAAAAGATGTGTATGGCCACAAATCCTGAAGTCCTCACTCCCAGGCCCTGAGGAAGCCATGTGCCGACGGCGGCCTGTGTCGTGTGGCTGGAGGCCCTGGCGGGTACCCGCTCCGCACAGTTTCGGAGGCACCGTGTAAGACACTCCTCAAAACCCCAAGGGCACAGACCAAGCAAGGCCTTTCTGAGGTCACCGATTGTGGCCTGAAGGGGAGTTGCTCACAGAGTGGTCAGTGGCGACAGGAAGGGAACAGGTGGACGCGCAGCCAGGGCAGCTGGGGTTTGGGTGGGGCTGGGCCCTGGGGGCAGGGGATGTGGGGCAGGCGGGTGGCACTGTCTTCTGCAGTGTGAGCTCACCCTACAGAAGGGGCATCCGGGCTAATACACGGCTCCCGCCTGCCTTTTTGATACCAGGTCACTCCCCAGGACCAAGGCGGGCCGGGCAGGGTGAGAGCTGCTCAGGATGGCCACAGTTCCTCAACACACACATGACCCTTCCCAGACCAGATCCGGTTTCCCACAGGCAGCTGCTGAAATGGATCCGGCAGCAGGAGGCACGAGTGACATCACTCAGAAATTCTAGGGACCTGAGGCGATGACAAAGCATCCCAGGTTTAAAAAGGGACGCCCCCAAGCTGCCTGGCCCTGAGCCCCCCCCCCCACCGGAGCCGGAGCCGCGTGGGAGGCCTGGGCAGGCGGCCCTCCTGTCACCTGTAGGGCCCTCTCCCTGGCTCGCCCCAGGGCGTCCTTTCCCAGGGCCCGCTCAGCTTGGTCTCCCGAGCTCCACACCCAGTCACACCAGTGTTCTGACACTTCACTCGGCCTGTCCAAACCCAAACCCCTTTGCGCCCCACAGGCCGGACCCTGAGACGCCCTCCTCCGCAGCCCACCCTCTGCTAAGCCCTGCCGCTCCCTGGACGCTCTGTGAGCCCGTCCTGGGCCAGTGCCCTCTGGCCAGTGTCCGCCCTCCTCTGAGCCTCGGTCTCCTCAAGTTAAAAAAGGCGGCTCCAGGGCTGTGCCGCGAGACCCCCGCGGGAGGGAAGTGCTCTGCACGGCGGCCCAGGCGGCTGCGTTACTGTGTGTGAATGGGGGAAGGGAACGCGATGACACAGAAGGGAGAGAGGGGGCTCAGAGCGTGAGGGCTGGCGGGGAGGGGGTCTTAGGACGGCTCCAGGCCATACTGGAGTCTGGTTTCCAGGCCGGGGACACCCATCCTCGGGGTGGCAGTGGAGGCCAGTCCAGATGGCACGCAGTGGCCCTCCGCCTGCCAGCCTGAGGGTGACAGTGCAATCTGATCACTGTCGGTGAGCGCGGCTTCCGGGGCAGTCGCCCAGGCCGCCAGTGACGCCGTGGCGCCATCTGCTCCCGCCAGGGGCCACTGGCGTCATGCGCCTGCCTGTCAGACCCGCCCGCAGGCCTGGCCTCTGGTCGGGGCGGCAGGGCGGGGGGGGGCAGGGGGGGTGAGGGCAGGTTTACTCCTCTGTCCACTTCTGCTCTTACAAACACGCCAGTGCAGGGCCCCGCAGGAGTTTTACAAGCACAGGCGGCGCCTCTCCAAGTACTCTGCAGCGCTAAAACAGGCACATGAAGTAGCTGTTCGAAAAGCGGTGTGGAGGCGCTGAAACGTTCAGCGGAAAACCCTTGGCCACCGCAGAGCAGGAGGCACTGAGCCTTCTGGAGAGCTTGCACTTCCCAGGGGTCTTCCCAAAACAGACTCAGGCGGTGAGGCAGCCCCCGCCCAGGCAGCGACTCAGACCGCCCCCACCCCCACCCCGCCCCACACTACCTGCCCAGGGCACGTGGTGGCAGGTCAGCAGCAGGGAAACTGCCCACCACAGCCTCCGTCTGCCCTGGTCTGGGGCCTGGGGCTCAGAAGAAGCCTGGGAGCCAGGCCTGCAGCTCAGGCTGAGCAAGGCGGCTCTGGCAGGGGGACTCGCGGCTTCTGCTCCACCGCAGGGACCTGCTGGCTCTTGGGGCCGAGGCACAGGCCAGGCCCAGTGGAGCCCCATCAGAGCCCCCGCCTGGGAGGACCCTCGCCAGGTTCCAGGCCAAAGCATGTGGGGGGGTGGGTCCCAGGGTTGGGCCCTCTGGGTGGGCAGACCTTAGACCTGGGAGGAAGTGCTTGGCCCCGGGGTTCCAGGGAAGCAAGGTGTGCCTGCTAGAAGGCCCTGCCCCTGGGGCTCGGGAGCTGGGCAGGGCAAGGCTCTCCCCAACGAAGCCTGGGATGGATCAGGCACCCCAACCAGGGGCTGGTGTTGTCCCAGAGAGGCCGGCAGCCAGGAGGGGGGGGAGCCCCCGCCCCCTCCCAAGGAGGCCTGCACTTTCTCGCTGGAGTCAAAGTTCTGTCGACTCCGGAGGAGAAAATTTATTTCTTTAATTATCATTCACCTAAGTGGGCTGCTGGTCCACAGGCATTCCCACAGCTGGGAGCAATCCACCTTCCTTATAGCCAAGAATCGGCCACCCGTATGGGGGTTCAGGCAGCTGGTGCTGTGTTGGGCCGGCCTCATGCCCCCAGGACAGGCTGCCCTGTGGTCTGTGCTCCAAACCCCACCTCCCTGCCCCGACCCTGAGGCGGGAGGGCTGAGCCCCAGGGCTGCCCCTTGGCAGCCAGCAGGCTAGTCAGCAGGGTATGGGCAGCTGTGGCCTGCAGGGGCGGGTCAGCAGGGAGGAGCCCCCCCCACCCCTTCCTCACCTAATCGCCCAGAGGCTGGAGGGCTGGGGGGAGACGGGTGGGGAAGGCCAGGGCGCTACCCTGCAGCTGTCCTGTCCCTGCTGCTCTGAGCGGGGAGGTGGGATTCTGCGGAGCTCAGCACTTGGAGGGCAGCGGGCTCATCTCAGCGTGGCATCCTCCCCGGGGAGAAGTGTCGCAGCCCCCTCCCCGGCCAGCTGCCAGCTCAGGCGGCAGGGCCGTGCCCCACAGTCCCTAACGCCGGCCCCTCCCACCTGCTCTGACCACACCCCGGGGCAGCAGCCGGCTCAGACCCGGGGCCCAGCGCCCAGCAGGCAGCTCGAACGTGGGGCCCCGCGATGCCTGTGGGCAGGCTGAGTCCAAACCCGCTTCTTCCTCTCAGCCTCCAGGCGCCTCTCCTCCGCCTGGATGCAGGCGTGAGGGATGCGAGGGGACGCAAGGAGCCCAGGTGGCGGGTGCAGCCCCGTCCCACAGGCCCACCGGCCCATTTCGGATCAGGCTCACGTGCAGCCCAGGGTCCCGGCGAGGGCCAGGACAGCCCCAAACCACAACCTGTCCAGCCCAAGGGAGGACAGCAGGGAGCGGAGCGGGGGTCCTGCCTGCTGGGCCGGTCGTGAGGGTGGGGTGGGGGGGCTCGGGCATAGCTGGGGCCAGAGGTCGGGCCCACGGAGAGGCTTGGTCCCTCGGGCCGCCGGATGGCCACTCCGCCGAGCGGCCGCTGCAAGCCCTGTGCGTTTCTCTGGATGTCTGGGCACCCACGGCCCTGTCCAGCCCGCCAGCAGGCCTGGCTGCGGCAGCCCTGGGAGGGGCCTGGCTCAGGGGAAGCAGCAGGCTGGAAGCGGCCATGGACAGAGGAGGTCTGAGGTCCCTGCCCTCTGAGATGCCCACAGCTGCGTGTGGGCCCCACAGACTACGAGCACACGTGCTACAGGCCCGCTAGGCAATCCGGGTGGGACAGCATATCTACCCGCCTTGCCTCAGGGCATCCCCTGACCCAAGGCGGCAGCCCCTCGGGGCTGAGTCTCACCAAGGCCCCCGAGGAGGCCCAGCCAAGCCTCTGCACCTGCTCCTCCACCACCAAGCTCTCGAGGTCAAGGCAGAGGCCCTGAGAGGTCACACAGCCCAACCCCTCAAGGTAGGAAACAGGCAGAGTGCCTGTCCTGGGGAGCCCGGGGCACCTGGCCTGGAATTAGGCAGCCAGGCGCCCCAGGCCAACAGACAGAGGCCCTGGGAGAAGAGAGGGAGGGCTTCCAGGAGGGTCACCCACGCCCTGCCTCCTCCCTGGCCCGGGCCTCTTCTCCCTCCTGCCCCTTTGGGCGGGTCGGGCTGGGGCTGGGTAGCTGGGCCTGTGCAATCCCCATACCACCTGCAACCTCCCCTTGTTTTTCTCCCTTTTCGACAGCAGAGGAAAAGAGCAAAACTGGACTGAAACCAAACTATTCTTCTAGTTAATGTGCACAATAAGCAAATCCAAAGCATCTCCTTCTCTGCGGCCTGTTTCCCAGGCCGCGGAGGCGCACGTGGTGGTGGCGGCCTCCAGGCACAGCGGGGCGTTGCCAAAGCGATTAGGCACCGCAGCCCCAGGTGTTCACTCGCCCAGGCCGTGTTCACCATACCCGGCTCACCTCCTTTGTCCAGGAGCAAAACACAGAAAATCAGAGGCGGCTTAGCCAAGCAAGAGGCAGGGGCACCCAAGCCGTCCCTGGGGGGCCTCCCCATCGTGGCCGCTGCCAGCCTTGTGAGGGGCAATTGCTGAGGCTCTGCGAGCAGGAGTGAAGTGGCCCTGGGGCTGGGGCGCTGTCTGGGAAGCCCTCGCTTGGGCCGGGCCGGCTCCGGGAGAGCCCCAGGCCTGGGGCCTCAGACAGGTGGCCAGCCTGGAGCAACCGGCGCACGCACAGCCCTCACCCGCCAGGAGCCTCACCTGCGCGCAGGAGGGGCCTGCTGCCCCCGTCGCCGCCGGGCCGGCCGTAGGTCTTGGAGAGCTTGTTGGCCGACACCTGGTAGAGGACGCCTCCGATACAACGGTAGCCTTTGTTCCGCCACCCAGGGGAGCCGGGCTGGGCTTTCCCACCCGCTGCAGCAGTACGCAGGCCGCTCAGCACCAAGGACCTGCAAGCACAGGGAACGCCTGTCAGCCCAGCCCCAGGGCCCGCGGTCGCGGAAACCTGTCTCCCGCCCTCCACTGGCACAGGAGGGGGCACCCTCAACCCCACCAACCAGGCTGGGACTGAGCCTCCCCCTCCGACACGCACGCCTCTGCGACACGGCTTCGAGGGGGCCCCTTTGTGCCCTGGGCGCTTGCACTAAGGTGGCCCTGAGCGTCTACTCTAAGGCCTGTGGCCATCACCACTGCCCGGGAACACCTCCTGGGCGCTGCCCCAGTGGTGCCACCCTGGCTTTGGGAAGGTCGTGCTGTGGGGTCAGCAAGCTCCACTGCCCGCCCTCCCTGCCTCTCTTTCCATTGCACGGAGGGCCCTGCATGGAGACTGGGAGGGGACAGGCTCACAGACCCCGCTCCCGCCGGCAAGCTGTGGCAGGGGAAAGACTGAAGTCTCCTCGAGGTCAAAGGCTGGCAGAGGACTGAGCCGCCTGTCCTGGGGTTAGCGGACGCCCCGGCCAGCCCAAGGGCAGACGGGTCGGGATAAGTCCCCCGACAGACACACAGTGGGCAGCGGCCACACACACCCTGACTCAGGTCCCACAGATGGTGGGCCTGCAGCTGCCCTGGTGGACCTGCTCCCCCGAGCTGCCACGAGGGGTCCAAGGCCCTCCCGCTGCCCAGGGCCTCAGGGCTCCAGAAGGACTTGGCCTTGCACCGCCCCCCAACCCCGTGCGTTTCAGCAGGAATCTGTTTATGCAACTTGAGCTTAATTCCCTATGAGCTCAGATTCTGCTAATCACGCTGTCCCCACCCAGTGTACATTCGGGCCCCACTGGCAAACCTGGGCAAGGGAGCACCAGCTGTCGCGTGAGCATCACCTCTACCCGAAGATGGCCCCCAAGCAGCAGGAGGGGCGGCGTGTGAGGAGGGTGGTCCTACTGCAGGCAGTGCCACCAGCAGCAGCCTGGGGCCCAGCAGAGGAGCCAGCTGAAGTCAGGGCCCGTCCTGGGGCACACATGGCACCCTCCCTCTGGGTTCTCCAAAGTGCTCCCGCTGAGGCCCCTTCCCCTGGGAGCATATGAACCCCAACTCCACCTGGGCAGCAGCACACCCTTTCCTGGCTCCCTAGGGCCAGGGAGGGGGCCCAGACCTGGGTCTGAAGTGCAGACGGGATGCAGCAGGCCTCCGGGCCCACCCCTTGGCCCCCATCTCTCCATCTGCGAGTTGGGGGTCATTCTCACCAGCCGAGTGAGCCGGGTGCTGGGGACCTGAAGCAGCACCATGAGGCGGGAAGCTGAGGAGGCCCGCCAGAAAGCGCACAACCCCTAATTAAAACTTAAGTTCACAGAGATCGATCTTGGAGCGAAGGACTCCTGCCAAGGGTCCTCGGCAGCCCGGCTCACGCTGGCCGTGCCGACAGGCTCCAGCTGCCCTCTCACGGGGCACGTGGGCATCCTCTGGGGGAGGAGCCAGACCTCCAGGCTCTCCCGGACCTTGGGACTGCAGATCTACCCGCCTTGGCCTCAGGGCATCTGCATGTCCAGCGGGCACCTGCCCTGTCCCCTGGGCTCACACCAAGGCCAGGTGGAGGTGTGAGGAGGGGGCAGGGCTGGGTGGGGTCTCCTCCCCTCACTGCAGAGCGCTGTCAGCCTTGGGAGCCCGGGGCCCTCTGCAGGAGCTGTGGCTGCTGCCCGAAAGGCACAGCTTGGCCTGAGCCCCGATCTCCAAGGTTGAGAGCAGAGCCCAGGCTGGTGGTCACCACAGCTCACTTAGCCCGAGGCTGAGAGGCCCCCGACAGCCCCGGCCCCCAGCCCCACACCATCCCGAGCCCTCAGAGGTCTCCCCGCCCACAAACCAGCTGCCCTTTCATCTGCCAGCCCCGGGCGAGGCGCAGCGTCGGGGCCCCCCACTCCGCAGCCCCCATCTGTGCACCCAGGGTCGCCCCCCAGCGCGCCGGCTGCCCGTGGCACTCAGGCCCTCACCGTGGGGCGGCTGCTCAGGGACAGCCCCCAGCCTCCCGCACAGGCTGTGCATCGCCATCGTGTGACTGTGCTTGCCAGGAACAAAGACGCGCTCAGCCGCCCCTCCCATTACCAGGGGCACCCCCTCTCCCACCTGCCTCTCCCTCCGCCCAGGGCGCTGGCCCCCATCAAACGTGAGAGACGGTGGGGAGGAAGGGAGTCAGGCCCTTCAAGAGGTGAGGAAGCTCCCCACCGGTGGGCATGCGCTCCTGGCTGAGGCTGGACAGGGACAGACCACCGCCCCCAGAGGCAGCCACGCAGGCGACGCCGTGGGCCGTGGGATTCAAGCGGCACGTGGCAGCCCAAGGAAGAGGAGGCCCCGCCCAGGCAGGACCCAGCAGGGTGGAGGCCGGCAGGTCCTGGGGCCAGAAGGAACTGGAAGCTTCAGGGCAGAGCGTGTGCCGGACCCCTCAGGCGGCGCCCCCCGCCCAGGGCCTGCGTCCCACAGCTCTGCACACAGAGAAGCCTCAGTCTGGGGCTGTTGTTGGCCACCCCCCACCCCCAGGAGAAGTGGCCCCGTTAATCACTGCCTTCTGCGATTTGCTCTTACTGCTAAAACGCCCGTCTCAGGTGACATTTCTTTCTCGGGACAATGTTGATTATTCTTATGGATGAACACGACCAACCGATCCATCGCCTTTCCGACCCGAAAAGCCATGCCCCTGGGCTCTGGTGCAGTGGTGGGGCAACTGCGGGCCTCCGGGAGGAGCGGAGGCGCAGCAGGCCTCCTGCTCCGAGGCCCCGGCTCTGTGCTCACAGTCTGTGCTCACACCTGGGCCCGAGGACCCCGCGTGCCTGGGTGCAGGGCTGCAGCACGAGAACAGCCCTGGAGCCACAGCTACCTGGGGCACCCCAGGAGCCTGGGAGCCAAGCTGGGAGAAGCTGCACTCCCAGATGGTGCCCTGGGGCTGCCTGGGGGAGGTGGATGCACCCAAAGAACTCGGGGAGGGCTGGTGAGGGCTGGGGAGGGCCCCCAGCCCGTGGAAACCGGCCCGGCCTGCAGTCTCGCAGAGCCGCCTCTGCCCCTCCCTCTCCTGCTGGTCCCGCTGACTTTGGACCTGTGGCCTGGCAGATGCCGGGCAGGCGGGAACTGGAACAGTGGGCTGCCCCCCCCCCCACCGCCCCAAACACCTTGTAGCCTTTCATTGCCGTGGGTGTCACAGCACTCCAGTAAATTGTTACCCTAATGGAGAGGACAGCCTTTGGAAATGAACTGTATTGAGAAGAGGGGATAAAATTAATGAGATAATAGCAGGGCCAAGGACCCAGAGAACGCGCCTGCCCTCGCAGCAAGGGCCTGTAATTCCTTTTCTACAACAGGAGCCTCAGATCTAAAGGCTGCTCCCATCCGTCCGGCAGGCCCATGCCGCCAGGAAATTTCATTAAGGCTGGAAAATAGGAAAGGTATTAAGCGAGGATAATGAAGGCCGGGGAGGGAACCTGCCTTAAGATAGTCCTTTTTCTCGCCTTTGTGATGGGAGGCATGAACTTTCCCTTCAAATCCATTTCTAATCCATTTGAAATACTACAGCAAATTATCTTTCCTTCAGCCCGAAAGCGGCCAGCCAATTTACTCCGAATAGCAGTGACAATGCCCCAGGATTTATCACCATAACCTTGACTACTCTGGGGTGAGGGCTGGGCCTCCCCTCGGCCCCCTGGGGGCCACGAAGGACAGGTGGGGGGGAGATAACGTTTTAAATGAAAAGCGGCAGTAATGGGGAGAAAGACACACACGCCACAAAAGTAGGTTTAAAAAGAAAAGCGGCCGTGTGTCCGCTGCCTGGGGAGCAGCTAGAAACTTCTAGGCCCAAGGCCATCCAGGAACTCCAAGGGGCTCTGCCCTCTGAGGCCCCTCTCGCCTGCTGTACCCAGGAAGTGAGTAGAAAGTCCCAGGGAAAATGGACCCCGAGAGATGGGGCATCAGGGTCTGGGTAACACAGGAAAGCTCTCCCCAGGGAGCCAGGATGAGCGTGACAAAACCTCTGCTCGGCCTGCGGGGCGCACTGCCGGCATTGGCCGAGTGCCCAGCCTGCCAGGGCTCCCCCACTCCCCAACGGTTTCAAAGGCTGGCCCTGGACACCCAGGCTCCCTGCACGCTCCCTGGCCACTGCCCAAGCAGGTCTGTGCAGCCCCCAACACCATGCGCAGGGCGCCCCTGCTGCGGGTCCGCTTCTCGGGCTGCACGGCTGAGACGGGCCCACCCAGAGCATCCTGGGCTAAGCGGCCTGGCAGCCTGGGGCACAGGTGTGCGTGCACGGAGTGCCAGGCAGACCAGCACCTGAACGCCACGCACCTCACCTGCCCCAGCGCACCCAAGACCCTGAGCCGAGGACAGGCAGCCTGCCAGGCCACGTCACCTTAAGGCCCACAGAGTGGCTCCTCCTAACGGAGGGCATGGTCAGGTGCAGGGAGGCAAGGGGCAGGGAGCCGGCCTGGCCCTGGAGACCCTGGAAGCAGTCCCAGCCTCCAGGACACCCTGGGCAGGGCGAGCCTCACCCTGGAGCTGTGCCCGGGTGCCCAGGCCTCCTCGCCAGGTCCACTGGCCTTTAAACTGACACGGCCTCAGGCCGCCAGCACAGCCCCGCGGGCTCCTCCTCGGCTGTCACTGCTCAGGTGGGATGGCAGGACCACACTGGAGCTGAAGGGGCCCCGCTCCGGCGTACCCACTCCTGAGGGCTCCAGGCCTCTCAGCACCCAGTCCTAAGGCAGCCTGGCACAGGCCCCGTGGACCCAGAGAGGGTGGGACAGAGCCTGCTGGGGACAGGGCCAGGCCCAGGGAGCCCGCGCCTGGACAAGTTGCTGGCGGAACTGGCGGCTATGCTCCAGGAAGGCCCCTCAGACACAGAGCGCTTCGCTGGTACCTTCCTTCCAGTCCCCGCAGTCTGCTCCCCTCCTCCGCACGCCCCGCACGCCCCGGGATGGGGACGCAGCCCGGACCTCTGTCACTGGTACCGGGGAAGTGGCCCTCTCGCCCCAAGGCAGTC